AGGCTGGCCAGGGTTTGACCGCCTGCTGGCCACGGCTATGCAGCCTGCCAGCCCAGGAGGGGGCCGCCGAAGAAGGAGGTCCATGACAGGACCTCGCCAGCGGCCCGTGCGTCTGGCCTCGGATGGCGGGAGAGAAGGTGAGTCCCCCTCCCAAAATTCTAATCTCTTCTATGATGTGTTCCAACAGGTGATGGGAGGGGGCTCATTTGGGAAGGATCAGCGGGAGGACGACAGGCTGAAGCATGGATGGACCCAGGTCCGGGTCATCGAAGGCAAGGAGGTTCAGCCTGGTCCCCACCCTCTCCCGCATTTCGTTGTGCAAAATGGCCTGCTGTACTGTGTCGCGCAGCGAAGGGGGAGGAAAAATTATTGTTGGTGACCGTACTGGAGACTGGCTCACTCCCATCCCTTGGCAGGGCATCTTGGAGCCGGGACCGCCATCCAGCGGATCCGCGACCGCTTCCACTGGCCGGGCTTGGAGGCCGAAATGAAGCGGTTCTGCCAAGCCTGCCCGACCTGCCAAGTGACTTCACCCAGGATGCCTCCCCCCAGTCCGCTGATACCGCTGCCCTTCATCGAGGTGCCCTTTGAGCGCTTTGGGATCGACCTTGTGGGGCCGTTGCCTAAGTCTGCCCGGGGACATGAACACATCCTGGTGATAGTCGACTATGCCACCCGGTACCCTGAGGCAGTGCCCCTCCGAAAAGCCACCGCCAAAGCCATTGCCCAGGAACTCTTCCTGATCTCCAGCCGAGTCGGCATCCCAGCGGAGATCCTGACCGATCAGGGTACCCCCTTCATGTCCCGGCTAATGGCTGACCTCTGCCGGCTGCTGCGGGTGAAGCAGTTGAGGACCACGGTCTACCATCCCCCACACTGATGGACTGGTCGAACGCTTCAATCAAACGCTCAAGCAGATGTTGAGACGGGTGGTCGCGGAGGATAAACGCGACTGGGACCTGATGCTCCCCTATGTCCTTTTCGGGATCCGCGAAGTCCCGCAGGCCTCAACTGGCTTCACCCCCTTCGAGCTCCTCTTTGGCCGGCAACCCCGCAAATTCCTGGCCACCTGGCAGGGTCCCTATACGGTGCTGGAGAAGATTGGGCCGGTGACGTACCGGGTGCGTCAGCCAGGAAGGAGGAGAGCCGATCAGCTCTACCACATTAACCTCCTGAAGAAGTGGATGGGGACTAGAGACCAGCTCGCGGCCCTCTCCATCTCTGATACCGTGGTTGTTGACATTAACCCCCACCTCTCGGCTGCCCAGAAGAAGTAGCTGCAGCACCTGGTCGGCCAGTTCTCTGATGTGTTCTCCTCTCTTCCCGGGTGGACCAACATCCTGCAGCACGACATCCGGACGCCGCCAGGGGTCGTCATCAGGCAACGGCCCTACCGCGTCCCTGAGGCTCGTCGGCGAGCTGTTGAGCAGGAAATTCAACAGATGCTGAAGTTGGGGGTGATCGAACCATCACGCAGCCCATGGGCCAGCCCCATCGTGATGGTCCCAAAACCGGACGGCACCCTCCGTTTCTGCAACGACTTCTGTCGCCTCAACGAGGTATCCGAGTTCGACGGATACCCCATGCTTCGGGTGGATGAACTGTTGGACCGGCTGGCAAGGGCCCGGTATATCTCTACCTCACCAAAGGCTACTGGCAGGTACCCCTCTCTGAGAATGCCAAACCTAAGACTGCTTTCTCTGCCCCTAGTGGCCACTGGCAGTACCCGACCCTTCCTTTTGTCCTCCACGGGGCACTCGCCACGTTCCAGCGGATGATGGACATCCTGTTGCGGCCCCATCAGGCCTACGCCGCGGCCTGGACGATGTCATGATCCACTCCGAGGTATGGGAAGACCACCTGGACCGTTTACGGAGGGTGCTCTCGGAGCTCCGGAGGGCTGGACTCACCGCCAGCCCTCACAAATGCCACCTTGCCCTCTCCGAGGCGAAGTACCTGTGTTTCCAGGTGGGATGGGGTTTCATTCGGCCGCAGGAGAAGGTGGAGGCGGTACGCTCCGCTCCGAGACCCGAGACCAAGACCCAGGTACGAGCCTTTCTAGAGTTGGCGGGGTATTATCGCTGCTTCATCCCCAACTTCTCCTCTTTAGCCGCCTCCCTGACAGACTTGACCAGGAAGTTGCAGCCTGAGAAGGTACAGTGGACACCAGCAGCGGAGGAGGCCTTCCAGAGGGTGAAGGGGGCCCTCATCTCGGAGCCTGTCCTCCGAGCCCCGGACTTTAGCTGCCCCTTCCTGCTGCAGACGGATGCCTCCGACACAGGACTGGGAGCCGTCCTGTCACAGATCCAGGAGGGTGAGGATCATCCGGTCATCTACATCAGAAGGAAGCTGATCCCGGCCAAGAGGAACTACACCGCGGTGGAGAAGGAGGCCCTAGCCGTCAAGTGGGCAGTCCTGGAGCTGCGGTACTACCTCCTGGGCCGGAAGTTCACCCTGGTCACGGACCACGCACCCCTTCAGTGGATGGCCCGCGCCAATGATACCAATTCCAGGGTGACCCGATGGTTCCTCACACTCCAGGACTTCCACTTCGTGGTACGTCATCGGGCTGGAGCCGCGAACGCCAACGCTGATGGCCTCTCTCAGATCTGGGCAGCTTTCGCAGGTCTGTCAGGGGTCACTCCCCACCTACCCCCTATCTCTCCCCTACTATCTCATATCGTTAACAGGACCAGGATGACGCTTAGGGGGCAGGAGTGTGACGAGCATCCCGAAGCTTCATCAGTGTCACCCTGGAAACAAGCGAGGAGCACCTGGCCATCATCATCACAGGCTGATTGGTCACAGCTGCACCTCATCAGGTGGTGGCTACATAAGCCACGCAAGCCCTGCCATCTAGGAGATTCCTCCATGGGACTGAGCACTAACTCGCCCTCATTTTTCCCACAGAAAGCAGCGTGTGACTGACCAGCCCCACAGGAGCACTGCACGGACCCTCTGCACTGGGAAGACGGAAGAGAGCACTCATGGCACCGGAGCACCTACCTGGACCTTTCTCACTAGCACCCATCACACCAATAAATCCACCCTCCGGGGTATTGATTGAGATTACTTGTCGTGTGATTCTTCACCCCATTACTATATATATATCATAAGATCTCTTTAATTATTATCATATTAAGACATTTCTGTCATAGCTGCAGTTAATCTAATGTCACATACTACGTCTGATAGTTAAAACATACTTCCAAAGCCAAAGATGATCAGTGCTGTGGCTTCTAAAATAGTCTTTGGGGTGTAGTTAACTCCTGTTGAAACAAGCAAAAGAGAAAAAGAAGAATCATTATTTTTCGTCAGTGATTATTAACTAATCACTATATGTTATGAACATGGTAAATCATAGATATAGAATGACTGCTAGATTGATCACTTACACAATTAGATTACAATCAACACTGAAAAAAGAGAGAGCATATATACAATAAAATGTAAAAAATAATTAATGTGAAACTTAAGAGAACACTAACTTTGAGACCTTGCTTCTATTAACAAACAAGAAGCCATAAAGAATACATTTTCATTCTTTAATTTTTTTTTTCTCTGGTATATGCACTGGGGTAAATGTTTTATTTATGAGAGAGGGAGAGCGCGTGAGAGAGAATGCGCATGCAAGAGAGAGAGAGAAAGAGAGAGAGCGTTCGTGCTATTTCAAATGACATCACACACATTTAACGTTATTCATTTAACTGAAAAGTAAAATATACCATAACTAGCAGTAAAAAAGTCGAAAAATCATTGTTCGTGTAAATACTAGACATCTGTACTGGAAAAGGCAGTCAGTCAGTTGCAGGACAATTAAATGAGTTTCATGAAAGCGGCAGTTTTTGAGGAAAACAAACATTTCCCTCAGTCTGTCCTAGTAATAGCCTTGCCTTTAATTAGATTTTATATTTACTTTCTTCATATTTTGAAATTTCATTGATATTGGTAATGGTTTACGTTTTAAAAGTAAGTGAAAAGTACTTAACACAGGAAAACTTGCAGCTGATGTCAGGCGATTCACTCAAGAATGGAAGTCCGTTATGCGCACTGGACACAAGCCTCAGTTTACATAACCTCTGCCAGGTTGTTGCACGGGCTTGCTGGTTGTTGTTGCGCGTGAATAAAATGTAAATTTTGTGGGGTGCAAGCAAAGTTTATATATTTTAATTTTTAATCATTTTAAAAATATATTTATTTCACCGCACTTTGTGCTTACCCAGACCTTAAATTGAGAATGCAGATTCATGTTTTTCATCCGCAGAACAATTTACAGTAGCACTACTGCTTTTGAGCAAACAGTAAAGTACCGCAAATTCCCATATGCAGTAAATTACTGTAAATGGCATAAAATACCCATAATGCAGTGCATATTACAATAGTTAACCATAAAACATATATATGGTAGTTTACTGGGCTTTTTTGCGGTAAGTAACTGTAAAATTACAGCAAAGTCTAACAGTGCAGATAAATGGATTTCTGATAGTTCATGAATGGCCATCCTATTCCAATGAGACTGCAACATCAGCCAGGAGGCAGTGGGTGATGATTTGGGTTGGAATATTGGGAAGTGAGATGTAAGGTCATTTTAGGGTGTCAAAATGACTTCTGCAAGATACGTGGAGTTCATAACTGACCATTTTCTTCTGGTATAAAATGAAGAAGAGTGCTCTCGGAAATAAAATGATTTTCATGCAGGACAACACACTATCCCATGATGCATAAATACCATGGTGCTAAACAGTTTGAAAACTGTTTCTACATCCACTGTGCAGGTTTCTCTTTGTAAGGTTTGGTTAGCAGTGACTGAAACGCAACACACAACTGCCAGTCTGCTTGGAGAGGATCTTGAGACTCCAGTAGCTTCAAACACCTGTTTGCTGCTCAGCAGTGGCTTTTTTACAGCTGCCATTACAATACAGTTTATTTGTTTGACACAAACTTTCCTTAATAAATCTTTATCTAACCAAGTCACTCACAAATATTTTGACAGTTCAATAATCTCTATTTGCTTTTCGCAAAATATTATTTGTTTTGATGCCTTTTGCAAGACATTGCATTGTTTCATACTTTTCATCTTCAGAAAGATCTTTCTTCCTCACCATATTTCATGAGAATTGTGACTTGCTTAATAATGTGGAACAA